ACATACCCCAAACAATCGAAGAACTGATTGCGACCCTTAAGACTATTCCAAACCTCTTTTGCGTCGTTACCTGTCAACGCAAAGGTGCTCCCTACAGATTCGACGATCTTCTAAATTCATTAGAATGTTACGTCATCGACGTGACCAAGCATATTATCAGTGCTTCCGAAAGAATTGACGAATCGTTAATTGCCGAATACCGAAAACTGCACCAGGCTGCTGACATAGAGTTGAAGACTCTAGCTACTGTGCTGCACTTTTTTCCCGACTTCAATAAAATCTTCAAAACACGTGACACGAAGCGTCGAACGGCTGCCGAGAAGCGCGAAGCTAAACGGCGAAAATTCTAAACAGGTACGCAAATCAGAGTCCTAAACCTTAAAATCTCAACAGGCGTGCTCATCGAGTCTCTGGTTCTGAGCCCCTTTATAATTTTAAGATGTCTAAACATAACACCCAAAATCGGGTCAAGTCAGTCTCTGATTCTTGTAGTACGAGCTGCGAGAAAATCCTTAAAAATGAAAGCTCTTTCGACTGCTTTTGCTGTGGCTGTTGAATGCACCTGAATGAAGAATGCACTGGTCTAAGTGAAGCCGCTGTCAATGGAGTACCGGCCTTAGGAAAAAATGCTCTATTGATATGCAACAAATGCGTTGAAGAAAAACGTCAAGATAATTTGACCCAAGCTGCCTATGAAACTACAACCTCAAAAGAACTTCGAAAAACTCAAATGAAAACCCTGGAAAACGAAATGACTGACCTCAAAAAAACAGTGACCGAAATCAAAACGCTGCTAAGCACAAAACAACCTGATTCAGATTGTCCAACCCAACATAGCTCAATTGCCAGTCGCCAAAAACCGCCACCGAAACCCGCCGAGGAACTCGATGGCATTAGCATACGAGGAGTCCCTGAATCAACGGAGAAGGAAGCAAGATTGCGCCAAGAACACGATCTCGCCGAAATTCAAAAAGTATTGACCCATATTGATGTCAATGCCTCAATTGGCGATGTCATAAGCCTGGGTCGATATGACGAGAACAAGATAAGAATATTCCTATTAAAAGTGCCCAATGCATACCAACGACGAATGATATTGCTATCTGCAAGGAAACTGAAAATTTCCCCTCAACCAACTTTCCTCAGCCGACAACTGACAAAGGAAGAAGCTGATGACGAAAACCTTGCCCTCGTCAGAAGAAGGCAACTTATCAGCGACAAATCTGTAGACAGAAAGGACATAAGAGTCCACGATGCAACTCGGTACTTCGAAAAGGTGGACAGTGGATAAAAGATAAACTTCCAGATCCCGAAGCACCCAATTGACTAGCAGCGACGATGAATATCCTTGATTACAATGTCAGAAGTATTCTTGAGTATCAACGGCGGACAATTTTCTCTAATGCTGTCCACGTAAAAAACGCTTATCAAGCCATCTGCCTAACTGAAACCTGGTTGACAGAAAGCATCGGCGACGCTGCACTTTTTCTGACAAACTACGTTATCCACCAAAATGACAGACCGATTAACAAAGGCTTGACAAAACACGGTGGCGTACTCATAGCAGTAAACCGTAACATTCCAAGTAGCCAAATCAATTCCGCGTTTCAAGATTGTGTTATCATCCGCATATCACTGAACAAGCCGATTTAAATTTGCTGCATCTACAGCGCTCCTTCAAACAGTACCCACAAATGGGGAATCTCAGATCTAATCGAACTCCTAAAGTTCCTGAGGCGTAAGCAATTTGAACAAAAAGCAATTTGTTCGTATATAGTTGGAAATATAAATTTTAACTGTACTCACTGGCCGTAAATGACTTCAACTTCTCCAGATGAGCATTCAATCCTTGACGAACTCTGTGAGTCAAACTTCCAACAACTAATAAAAACCCTGATGGAAAATCACTATACATTCTCCTTAGTAACAAATCGCAATTTGTCACATGCGTAAAACTTGACAACCGTCTGATTAGTTTATTCAGTTCCGACCATTTGCCACTCCATGCTAAAGTCTCATTTGACTACCGACCTGTTCATAAAAAGACACCAGCCATCAAACAAAAACTAGATTTTGGCATTTTCGCGTACAAGAAAGCAAACTGGGAAGAAGTGAATGAATTCATTTGTCAACAGCCCTTCCAACCATTTTGCTTGAGCAACGTTGAACTGATGCTCTATCATTGGTACGAGTGGTTATACGAAATACTACAGGACCTGCGCTACCTATCAATACAAAACACAGGTCTGAACAAGCTCCTTGGGTGGGAAGCGATTCCTCCAAGCTTATCAAGAAATTAAATACACTCCAACTTAAAAATCAGCAAAAACCTACCCCATCGAACGAAGGCAAAATTGAAAATCTGCAAACTGAACTAACAATTTCCCTCCAAAATGACCAGCATCTCGACGAAGTAATGCTTTTTGAGAATGGGAAAACTAGCGAAATACAACGATTTCTGAAATCGATCGCCAAGTCTCGCATGATCCCTTCAAAGATCTTCCTAGATCAAAAAATAGCCAATACAGACGCTCAAAAAGCTGAATTGCTTAACATACATTTTCAATCATCTTTCACACCAAACGCCAACGTTGGGAAAGCAGAACGACAAGATAACATTCTTCTGAACGGTATCATTTTCACAGTCGATGAAATAGAAGATGCCCGGAACGAGCTGCATGTAAATAAGGCAAATGGACCAGACATGATTGGTAATACTCTTCTGAAAAACCTTTCAAAGTCACTACCAAAATCACTTCACTTACTGATCAACTTGATTGCAAATAAAGCGATATTTCCAACAAAATGGAAGATCAGCGAAATCTCACCAATTTTCAAAGACGGGAATAGGTAATAAACTA